CACAACAGGAGGAGGAGAATGGGAGCAATCAACATAAAGATTGCTGGAGAGGATGATAGACAACAGCCTGGACAGACAGGTAGCGTAGTGGGCTGGGAAGAAGAATCGGGGAGGGATGTGGGGGGAGGGGAAACGAGACGAGGACACAGGAGGCAGGGCAGACTGGGAAGGAAGGAGGGAAACACCAGATGGAGAACCAGGAGGACCACCTTCTGGTTCAGAACGTAAAGGAGCAGGTGAGGTGAGGTGTGGTGGGTGTGTCCGAGTCCAAGGCCTGAAAACGGTCGAGACTGAGAAAGGAGGGGAGGGTGAGGAGAGGTGGAATGTAATACATGAGAGTGAAAGACATGCCAGTGAAAGAGGGGAGATGGCGAACTTGGCATCTCGCCTTGGGAAAAGACAAACGATTGCGGTGTTTCAAATTGAGGATGATGGTTCTCAAATTTGTAGTGCATACACCTGCGGGAAAAAGTAAGGTGGGCGTCACCACATTTGATTTAGTGAGCTTGGGAAGAAGAGCACTGTCTTAAGAGTGACAAAAGTGTAAATACAAGGTAACAGACACACTGCTGTACTCAAGAAAGGGAACTGAAAGCAAAAGCCTAGCATTCCATATGGGAAATTACAAGGAGATAAGAAAATTCCTAACGGATATAACATGGGAATCAGAGATGAGGGAAAAGATGGCCCAAGACATGATGGAATACATCACGCAAAAGTGCAAGGACGCAGCAGAAAAGTTTATCCTGGCCCAAAAGGTAAAAAATGAAATGCAGATGAGAAACCCATGGTTTAATCAGAGATGTAAGCTAGCTAAACAACAAAGTAAAAAGAGCATGGAGAAACTATAGAAATAACAGGACACTTGAGAGCAGAGAAGGTTACCAGAGAGCCCGGAATGAATACGTCAGGGTGAGAAGAGGCAGAAGGGCAATATGAAAACAACATAGCAAGCAAGGCTAAGACCCAACCCAAATTGCTGCACAGCCACATCCGGAGCAAGACAACAGTGAAGGAACAGGTAATGAAACCAAGGATAGGGGCAGACTGATTCACTACAAATGACAAAGTGTGCGAGGAACTCAATATGAAACTCCAGTTAGTCGTCAAATTAGAGCAAGAAGTGCCAGAGATAAGAGAAGGAATAATTAACCAGGCACTACTAGAGGAATTTGAGATTACCAGTGGAGATGTAAGGAAGCTTTTGCTAGAGTTGGATATGATAAAGGCTATAGGCCCGGATGGAATATCACCATGGATACTAAAGGAAGGAGCAGAAGCATTATACCTGCCACTCTCCATGGTGTATAACAAATCCAACCCGTTCTCGCAAATTTAATAAGTCAATATTGACTTATTAAATATGTGCATAGGTGATATACTTAACATAATAGATACCCTTAAAAAGATTCATAGAAAACACCGACCTTACCTAACCTTGTTAATGTCTTAAGATAAGCATCTTATTGCTTCGTAATTACAATTATTACCTAACCTATAATAGTTATAGGTTAAGTAATAATTGTAATTACGAAGCAATAAGATGCTTATCTTAAGATACTAACAAGGTTAGGTAAGGTTGGTGTTTTCTATGAATCTTTTTAAGGGTATCTATTATGTTTAGTATATCACCTATGCACGTAGTTAATAAGTCAATATTGACTTATTAAATTTGCGAGAACGGGTTGAACAAATCACTGGCAACAGGTGAACTGCCAGAAATTTGGAAGGCGGCAAATGTAGTCCCGATATACAAGAAAGGGGATAGACAGGAGGCACTGAACTACAGGCCAGTGTCCCTAACTTGCATACCATGCAAGCTAATGGAGAAAATTCTGCAAAAAAAGCTGGTCGAACACCTGAAGCAAAGGAACTTTGTGTCAAAACACCAACATGGTTTCAGGGATGGCAAGTCATGCCTAACAGGATAAATTGAATTCTACAATCAGGCAACAAGAGAGGGGTGGGCATACTGCATATTTTTAGATTGCCAGAAAGCCTTTGACACAGTGCCACACCAGAGACTAGTGTGAAAGCTGGAGATGCAGGCAGGAGTGAAAGGAAAGGTACTCCATTGGATTAGGGAGTACCTAAGTAACAGAAGGCAGGGAGTCACTGTGCGGGGTGAAGTCTCAGATTGGCGAGACGTCATCAGTGGGGTCCCGCAGGGTTCAGTCCTTGGACCCATAATGTTTCTTATATACGTAAATGATCTTCCAGATGGTATAGAATCATTCTTCTCATTGTTTGCTGATGATGTAAAAATTATGAGGAGGATTAAAACGGAGGAAGACAGTATGAGACTACAAGATGACCTAGACAGACTGCATGAGTGGTCCAACAAATGGCTACTAAAGTTCAACCCAAGTAAATTTAAGGTAATGAAACTAGACAGTGGAAACAGGAGGCCAGACACAGGATATAAAATGGGAGATGAAGTCCTTCATGAAACGGACAGAGAGAAGGATCTAGGAGTTGATATCACACCAACCGTCTCCTAGAGCCCACATCAAAAGAATAACATCTGCGACATATGCAAGGCTCACTAACAACAGAACTGCCTTCAGGAACCTGTGTAAGGAATCATTCAGAACCTTGTATACCACATATGTAAGACCAATCCTAGAGTATGCGGCCCCAGCATGGAGCCCGTACCTGGTCAAGCACTTGGGGGCCTCGTAGCCTGGTGGATAGCGCGCAGGATTCGTAATTCTGTGGCGCGGGTTCGATTCCTGCACGAGGCAGAAACAAATGGGCAAAGTTTCTTTCACCCTGAATGCCCCTGTTACCTAGCAGTAAATAGGTACCTGGGAGTTAGTCAGCTGTCACGGGCTGCTTCCTGGGGTGTGTGTGTGTGGTGTAGAGGAAGAAAAAAAAAAAAAAAGTAGTTAGTAAACAGTTGATTGACAGTCGAGAGGCGGGCCGAAAGAGCAAAGCTCAACCCCCGTAAAAACACAACTAGTAAACACATGGCAAAGCTTGAAAAAGTTCAGAGATATGCTACTATGCTAGCCCCAGAACTAAGAGGCATGAGTTACGAAGAAAGACTGCGAGAAATGCACCTCACGACACTAGAAGACAGAAGAGTAAGAGGAGACATGATCACTATGTATAAAATTCTCAGAGGAATTAACAGGGTAGATAAAGATAAATTGCTTAACACGGGTGGTATGTGAACAAGGGGGAACAGGTGGAAACCGAGTACCCAAATGAGCCACAGGGATGTTAGAAAGAACTTTTTCAGTGTCAGAGTAGTTAACAGATGGAATGCATTAGGCAGTGATGTGGTGGAGGCTGACTCCATACACAGTTTCAAATGTAGATATGAAAGCGCCCAGTAGGCTCAGGAATCTGTAGATCAGTTGAGAGGCGAGACCAAAGAACCAGAGCTCAATCCCCGCAAGCACAACTAGGTGAGTTCTGCACTCGTGCATTTGAGGGGAACCATACCCAGATTTCCAACACCTATTGCAAAGTCTAAGAAAGGAAATGTACTCCTGAATGGAGCATCTGGCATCAGCAAGAATGATAGAAGGCAGAAGGGACCTACTATCAAATGATCTTCACAACTCGAAGAGGTAGACGACGACAACCACCAGCGGGTTGCGTGAACACATCAACCTGGAGGACAGAATGGCCTCGAGCTTCAAGGACATGCTTAATATCCTCGTGGCAGTCTTTCAGGTCCCTAACACCAGTTACAACACGGTGCGGGAGAATAACCGTGTCAATACTGGTATTTAATCGGCCATTTTTGGAGATCCTAACAGGGGTCTCCCCAATGCTGCACAATGAGGCTAAGCGGTCAGCTGTTTCCCGAGGAGCAGCAGCAATGTCACGTGTACCAGTACGGGTGGGTTTAAAAGTAACAAAGGTATCTACTGAATCAACGAGGTGTTTATGAAAGAAGAAATCATCAAGACGTGTAGATTCCACATGGTTGAGATCAGTCTACTTAGTCAATGTAGCAGGACCAAACAAGGCTTGGAACGTAGAACAACTGGAAGGATTGTGTGGATGCATCTGCGAAAGGGACGGCACTGAGCACTTCTAGTAAGATGCGGGGTAAAAGATGCAGTTGTCATAATGAGAGGAGTTGCTCTAGGTGATGAGGTGGTCATCACTGGGGGCTTGACCCTGCCACAGAGGTGGGAGGGGAGTGGAGGGGGGTAGTCGGGGAAGCAGCTTGGTCTGGGCCCAATATAGCAGGGGCTACAGAGCGCAGCCTTCCATCACAGTCCAACTTAGGGGGCCTTGTCGCCCACCCCACGAGTCTGGGAAGTTATAAAAGAGGGTCAGTCTTTGGCATATAAACAAACATGTAATAATTTCATCCACGAATAAGCCCCCATACCCACCATGGAGCCACAATTAAAGGATAAGACACCTGCCAAGATGGGGTCCCCCCAAGGGGTGCATCATTAGTATATGCCCTGCAATCGCCACCTTAAGAACCGTCAGTCCATCAAAACTGGATTCAGAAACGAAGGCAAGGAATGACAACGAAAGCGTCCCCTCGCTTGAAACATCGAGTACCACAGTTTTACGGGTGAGTGTGCGCACTTCCCCAAATACATGGGCGTCAGAACAGATATCTGAAAGAGTAATCAAGAATGGCAAAAAGTCAGTGGGAAATGACAATCACAAAGAAGAGGGGGGGGGGGGGGGGGAATTAAACATAAGGAGGAGGAAAAGGCTTCCAGCACAATTTGTGAAGATAGCAGCAGGAGCATAAGGCTCCAAAAGGACAACTCTGTCCCATGGAACATCATACCCCGGCAGCCGCCAACCAAGCTCCCTCATGACGACAACGGGCTGGAAAGGGAAGGGTATAACCATTGTAAAATATGAAATTAGCAATAATCAATCCTGAACACAGATCAGCTCCTAGTATTAATTTTTTTGTTTAAATTAGTACTCTCTTTAGATTTCCAGAAACGGTTCCGATTTCAAGTTTGGGTCATTATGAAAGGATAAAAATTAATAAAAATTCAGGTTTGTAAAGGCTTTTAAAATATTTTTATTCAAATTTCATATTAAAAAATACAAATAAAATTTTCAGATATAGTATATATGTATTTTAGTTTGGGAGCCCAACTATTGTAAGGAACCAATTCTGGACTATAGTATGGGGGCTTGGGGGGTAATAAAGGACAAACAAATACCCAAGAGCAGTGTCTTGGCTACACATTTTAGGGCCCAAATTTGTTATCACACAAAAGTGGCACTTGTTAACTTGAACTGCAAATATTTACCTAATTGTATTTTAATCCAGAAAGTTGCAATATTTAACACCAAACTGCACACAAGGAAAGCATAACAACATGAAGTTGGTAAAACAAAAACACCCAAAGATAAAACTTATCTTTCAAAGTGCATTTCTGTAAGGAAGATCGTGTATATTTAAAGTGACTGAACAAGTAACTGATGGAAAATATTTGAAGACAGTTTAACATGTTTTATATAAATCTGAAGGTTGACAACAATGAGAGCATAAATTAATTTACAACAAAATATTGAAAGATTCAATAGATGTAGTTGTGTGACTGGCATGTATAATGTACAGAAAAGTATTAGATAATTTCTCTTGCTTAAAATTATTGACCTTCAGAATGTTTGGAAATAAATTATGTATGATAATTCCTTAAAGACTCCCTGTAGAAACGTACATAAAACTCGTAATATCAGTATTTCCTCTTCACAAATACTTATCCACAATGGGATCAAAAGACTAAAGGTAAACAAGCATTATAACAACACACTAATGGAGACCATTATTAGTGCAAAGTTAATGCAAGACCTAACTTGTGCTCTACTAATGCTTATACGATTCATTTCTTGCAATATACTATGTTCACATAAGCAAAATGTAGCAATATTAACAATTTTGACTACAGCTCTATTCGAGCCCAAAGTTAACATTTTACATGGCAAAGCTCATTATAAAACAAATAATTTGCCAGAAAATAACACGTCCGGTGTGATTCTCGTGTATCTACCGTTACTACATAATCCCAAATAGGCTCTGAGTGTCCTCTAAAATAAATCATTTTTAAGAAATGTGTCAGCAGAACAGAAACCTGGACACAATTGCAGTACTAGGTTCAGCTTTAAAATTTGTCACAAAATTAATTCGGTAATGTATTGTGTGGATGCACAATGTAGAGGGATGTATGAAAATAAGTTTAACCAAATTACCTTGAATCATGTATACTCTCTGTTGATTCATCATGTATGAGACCAGTAACCAGCAGAGGCCATGGTTTAGCATGACACCAACAATATTTACGCAAAATACACGAATGCTAGTCTTTAACCAAACAAACAAACCTGCCAAGAAGTAGACAAACTCCTACACACACACACCAACTGCAATTTCTGAAACCTACAAGCCAAGTGGATTTGAAGAAAATATTTGTACAAACTCCATTATTGTCAAACAAGCTTCAACACAAACTTCTCAATAAAACTCACACATCACACAAGTAACAATAATCATGACTCGTTAATGATCCCAGATGTGTACTCTACAAATTAACTCCACTCACAAACTAATGTACTGTACAGAAAAAAAAAACAGCACTGTGAACAGTTCCTTAAGAACAGAAAAAATTCAACTTTGGCAGCAGCAACAGTTCCTACATCACAATACTGTGCTCATAATCATAGCAGCAATGTGGTCTGAACATCTGAATTTTGATGCACTCGGGAAGAGTGCAAATAAACGCATAAGCAGGGAGAAAATTAAGGAAATGTTAGCAAACAAAAGACTGACTGGATAAATTGAGGATAAAATAACCTTTAGTTTTATTTGGTAACGGCTCAGAATGACACTGCATATTAATAAGAAATAAGAAATCAAAAAGGTAGTTTAGACAAATTTATTCTAATCTTAGTTTGGATGGCAACAGTATTCCATATCACACCGTTCCATATCACATGCTGAGCTCTTAACACTCAAGACAACTAAGTCTACATCAAGCCCCTGCAAATCATACAAAATTACAAAATATTCAGGAACTTGTTTGCTTAGCTATGGAATTTGCCAATTTAAATTGATAGATGTACAGTACGTCTTCACCTAAAAGAGCATTACTGATATAAGCAAAATTTACTGGTTTTAAACCGTTATCAATTACATTTAATATTTGTACAACTACCAGATTGAGAAAAACATGCAGTGCAACTACACAAAAATCTTCTAAAAATATTTTACAACTTGGTGTGTTACAATAACTGCAAAGAATATAGTACAGTACTTAACATTTTTGCCAAAATCTTTGCATTATCTTAGCTCATGTAGTGAAGTGTCAAAATAATTGAAAAAAAAAAAAGTGTGATGTTAGAAAGCCAGCCACCTTATTAAGACGCAACCATCATGACACCCATCTTGCCCTCCATAACTAATGCCAGCACTACCCATTAACAGTGGGTGCCACCACAGATTTATGCACAGAACTGCTGTAGATTTGCCTACATGAAGAACTGCCAAAGGACAAAATTAAAATCACTTCATTATAAAGCATATCAGAGTTTACTAAAGCATTTCACAATAAAACAGTGGCAGGTAGTGTACGTTCAGTGCTGTGTGTAGGTTTGCTTCACCCAATTAACAGTATGAAGGTCTGCACCACATCACTTATTACATCTCACTACTTGGGATCAATAGCAACCCAAAGAAGCTTAATGCATCTAAATACAAAATAAATTCTCTAGACAAACTTACTAGTGGCATCTATTGGTACTAAATAAACTCCAAAAGAAATGGGTCAGAAAAGCACTATACATATTACGCTTAAATAGAGTATCTGGTTAGGGTCCCGCTCTCAATATAATTTAATATCAATATAATCTTAAATATCAGACTGAAGGAGGCAGAGTGCAGAATCCTATGGCCACAAAAAACACTAATAGCACCTGCTTATGAGCAAAATAATTAAGCATTCAGTCTACCTTACAATAAAGAAGGAAACATTAATAAGTAACAGTTGATTGTAAAATAAAGTTTAAAAATAAAGAATTCCACATTTCTTCCTTTTCCTAATAAACATATTAAGTTATAAATATCACTGAGGTATAATGATTAACCGATTGCATCCAAACACAGGAGCTTGAAGAGAACCTATGGGAAAAATCATATATATACTCTTAGGTGTAGGACCAGCAAGCTGATCATGACTCGCTGTATAAATACTTTTAGACAGAAGAAAATTAATCAGTGTTGGATATGTTAGGTGTTAACAGGTACTGAAGTGAGCAGATAATTCAACATATCAGGGTAACAACTGAGCATGTGCCCAGACTAGACCGTGAACACAACATGTGGAAGTTGAAAAGCCAGAGACAAGGATGACAACACAGGGCGAGGGAGCCAGAGACGAGGACGACAACACGGGGTGGGGGAGCCAGAGACGAGGACGACAACACGGGGTGGGGGAGCCAGAGACGAGGACGACAACACAGGGTGGGGAGCCAGAGACGAGGACGACAACACAGGGTGGGGGAGCCAGAGACGAGGACAACAACACGGGGTGGGGGAGCCAGAGACGAGGACGACGACACGGGGCGGGGGAGCCAGAGACGAGGACGACAACACGGGGTGGGGGAGCCAGAGACGAGGACGGCAACACGGGGTGGGGGAGCCAGAGACGAGGACGACAACACGGGGTGGGGGAGCCAGAGACGAGGACGACAACACGAGGCAGAGAGCCAGAGACGAGGACCACAACACGGGGCGGGGGAGCCAGAGACGAGGACCACAACACGGGGCAGGGGAGCCAGAGACGAGGACCACAACACGGGGCGGGGGAGCCAGAGACGAGGACCACAACACGGGGCAGGGGAGCCAGAGACGAGGACCACAACACGGGGCGGGGGAGCCAGAGACGAGGACCACAACACGGGGCGGGGGAGCCAGAGACGAGGACCACAACACGGGGTGGGGGAGCCAGAGACGAGGACCACAACATGGGGCAGGGGAGCCAGAGACGAGGACCACAACACGGGGCGGGGGAGCCAGAGACGAGGACCACAACACGGGGCGGGGGAGCCAGAGACGAGGACCACAACACGGGGCAGGGGAGCCAGAGACGAGGACCACAACATGGGGCAGGGGAGCCAGAGACGAGGACCACAACACGGGGCAGGGGAGCCAGAGACGAGGACCACAACACAGGGTGTGGAAGCCAGAGACGAGGACCACAACACAGGGTGTAGAAGCCAAGGACAAGGACCGCAACACACGGTGTGGAAGCCAGAGACGAGGACCACAACACGAGGCAAGGGAGCCAGAGACGAAGATAAAGAATGAAGTAGACTACTTGCAATATGAAAATGGGAAATATAAGACGAAGATAATGTCAATACAAAAATAGAAGCAACTGCATGAATAATCTAGGAGTATGTGCAACATAATGAACATGCACAGACTAAGCAAAACAGTGATAACAAAAATGAGATGGCATAATATAGACGAGGCAACATGTAAAGGACATGTGCAAGGCTTAACGTGTGTGGGATGTACACAAGGCAATATCAAATGCACAAAATACTATACAACAAAACTAGTATTCTGTGCACAAAATACAGTAACACAAATACACAATGTGTACAAGATAAAGCATAAGTAGAATATGATGAAAATGGGGGCATTAACAAGTCGTGACTGATATCCTATGATCTCTTGATCCTGGCCAAATTAGCTCACTGTGGAGCTTTCACTCCGTTTCTTCTGCCTCCGTAGTGGAGGATGGTGTGGTGCATGAAGACGTTAGTAAAGGCGCATGCTTGGTATCAAGTGGGGCAAGGTCAGTTTCACAGGGCTGGTGATCGTCTGATGTGCTGGGCTCAGACGAAGGGGTCGACTTGGCCACATCCTCTAGTGAACCTGCTTGTTGGGGACGACACACACCTGTCAGAGTTATACTCCACATGTATAACCACACCAACACTTTTACATTAATAAAATAATTTAATTCTCTATAATGGAATAATGTCTACAATATGTTAAGACAATAATACTTGCACAAGTCTCAAAAAGCATAATCACTCGCATATCATAACTTTTACAATGCCAGCTATACCTCATGTATTCCTCATGTACTTGAAATGCAAAATTGCCAACATCTTGGTAAAGTATATTCCCCTCCATATCCCCATTGCTCTAAGTTTACACTCACATCTCCCCACTTCTCAGGGCACTTGCAATATTCATTATGATCAGCTACACAATTTAAGCAGGACAGGAGCACAAAAGCAGGAAATGTTAGCCTAGTGTGGAGCTCTCGTGTGACCCAACCTGGCATTGTTTCCTTCTTTTCATCTCTGATTCATAAGGTTACAGAGTATATTACAGTCTTATATGATGCAAATATGAATTCAGAATACTGTAATTACCCTCTACACTGTGCACCTGTGAACCCTCCTATGTTGTATACAAAAATTATTTAAAATATTGTTTCAAATGCTGTATTGTTATAATGTGTTCCCTGATCAAAGGAAACAAAATTTGTATGTAGCTTAATAACTTGGCTGTGGAGAAGTGGGGAAATATCATGATGATGTCACTTATCACTGGACATGAGTCTGATCTCTAAATCCAGAATGTGAATCTTTTTCATTTATTCATTTTTTAAAGGAACATGTGGTCCCATTGCATGATGTGCAGAGATCGGCTGTGCGCAGTTTGTCTTGCTTTGGAAACGTCACTAGGATCACATTTACTTATATCTTAACCTTGTACATAATCTTTTTCACTGTCAGGGTCTCTAAGTCAATATCATCAGTGAATAAATGCAGATATTTATTTAATCATTAAGTGATGCTGTGTCGCACAAACTCCATGGCAATGCTGTGAGCTGCAGCAACATGCAATACCCATGGTTGACCCATGGTTGCAGTGTCAGCACTGATGCTCTCGCCCAGCTGGGTACTAGGTGAGTATCCAGGAAGGGTGCCCACAATTTTTTTCAAAAATTGTCTGATTACAGGAGACCTGAAGAACAGGGTACGAGCCCCTTATACTTGGGAAAGTTTTAAACATTATACAAGATCTGAAAACAACCCTTGTTGTGTGCACCAACAACTCTCGTTGTATAAACAGTATAAAAAACTGCTGAACAAGAGTTCTTACATTCTTGCACAGCCACTAGCACGCATAGCGTTTTGGCAGGTCCTTAATCATATATTACATTATAATCTACACGTGGAAAATATTAGAGGGGCTAGTCCCAAACCTACACACAGAAATAACATCACATGAAACCAGAAGGCATGACAGGATGTGCAGAATACCTCTCATTGAAGAGCAGAAGTGCAATAGGCACTCAGAGAGAACTTGATCAACTTCAGAGGCCCGAGACTGTTCAACACGCTTCCACTACACATAAGGGGCATTACTGGCCGACCCCTCACAGTGTTCAAGAGAACCTGACAAGCACCTCCAAAGGCATCAACTGCATATCCACTTTGTGGACACTTCTTACTACTATTGTTCTTCTTGGAGTGTCGGACAGGTGCTTGCATCTCTTTATTACTGCATAATCCTTCAGTTACAGTTATTAGGAGCTGTTCTTCTTATCAATAAAATGTTCTTATTTTTCAAAAATTTGTCTAAAATCAATTTCTGAAATTATTTTTACGAGAGTTTCACGACACTAAAGTCAATAAGTTGGAGATTTGTTTAACATTAAGTTATTTTTATATAATTTGAATATTTTTCGATGTTATGCCCCCTAAATTTGCGGTAATGTGTGTGGTCTAAGGGTTAAGGGAACAAAGTTCATGTTTAGTAATTTTTAGTGTTGTGCTATGTTAGATGAATGAACATTTTGAAGCTCTTCATCAAGCAGATGAACTCAAAACAAAAGCTGAAATATCTGTAATCACTAAATTGTTTCAATATTGTTTCAATACTGTATTAGTATGTGAAAATCATCCACTAACAATGTGTAGATTTTATGGAAACATGAATTATGTTGGTTGTAATACAAAAAATTATGATTGTTAATTTTTTACTTTCATGGTAAAAAGCCAGCTTAATCCGTCTAGTGTGGACCCCATATAATCACAATAAACAAAATTAGACAGCACTTATCATACAATGTGAGATCTACAAAATTCCTTCTATAAATCAATATTACACAAGCTATGCTCAATTCTTCCAAGATTTATTAGAATGAAAATTGGAATTATTGAAATTTAAAGACGTTGGCAATTAACAACAATACAATGAATTATAGAATATTTAACAGCTAGTGATGCATAGCCAACCACAAGTGCCAGAACATCAGGCATGAAACATGACGGCACACGTATCACATTCGTGCCCGTCGACTATTCTCGCCAAGACATTCCCACTGCGTCACCGTTATTTTCAACTATTAGAGATCACATTTCTAGATGTGTTTGAGATAGTACAGCCAAATTTCTTATTGAACACAATTTTGTGCTCGAGAAATAACCCTGTACTATACAGTATATTACTGTGAAAAAGTCAGACCTACATTCACGGGTTATTAAGATTTCACGCAACTCACCTTGACTGGATGTAGCCTTAGTGCTCGATACCTCCGATGAAACCACACCTTCCTCCTCCTCGTCATCTTCCTCTGCAGAACTACTGCTTCCAGATTCTGTAAATAAAGCAACTGCCTCACTGAAAGTCTTGGCAAGACATTAGTAATGATGCCACGTATCTCCTTGGAGTAGCCTATCAAGAAACCAACAAGAAGAAAAGAAGACAACAACACTAGACCTGGTGCTTCCTAAATATAAGGCAGATGTTGAGAAGACAAATTAAGACGTGTCCCAAGGAGCCAGCAATCTGTTAATATTAAAAATAAAGCCGAGTAGGAAGAGGAAGCCCGACCAAGTTACAGGTTGAAGAAGGCATGAGACTACAGACTAGGGGGTCACAGAAGGTGAAGGGCCTGCCTGCAGGAAATCCAAGTGAAAACAGATTGGGAGGTGAAGGCAACAAATGAAATGGAATTAATAACTCACGAAATGTGTAGAAAACAGTTAGATCCCACTCGGGAAGGAAACCTATAAAAAACTCGAGGCAAACCTTTGGTTTACTAAATAACAGAGAAGCAAAGGACAAGATAAAAAACAGAGAACATGACAGGGGTCAACATGTACATCAGATAAAAAAAAAAACGGAGTAAAAAAAAATTAAGACAATTGCACAATAACTAGAGCCATTTGAGGGTTAAGGAGACTTGGTAATGTCAAGGAAAGCAACAAGGTGACTAAGGAACTTGAAAGGTTCCAGAAACTTCACAAAACTGAACCACATGAGACCATATAAGTAAAAAGAGGGCACTGAAATTATGAAGCACATCTTCCTCAGGTCTCGGGTCCAGATTTAGAACCAGGTTTCTCATAGAACTCCATGTGAGTGGGACTTGAAAATGCAAGCGAGTCAAAGATTTCCTGAACACCTGTATAGAGTGAGGAAGGTCAACAAGAGAAATGCACAGTAGTGGTGTTAGCCACCACCTTCCACAGCTTCAAGAATAAAAATCTATAATGTTAACAAATGTAAACACTAGGTATAAACATCTATTGCCCTCTAAATATTTATATAAAAGTTACTGTAGAGGAAAAAATATGTTTAAATTCTAGCTAAAACAATGTGTTAGCTAATTAAACTAATAATTATCTGCAAGTCATTTGACATGGTATTTTCCAACCTCAAAGGAGAACTTCAATCCCTGAATTTGTATTAACTGCAAATAACTTTAGCAAATTAATTTTGTTTGTACAGTATGCCCACCTGTAACGATAAAAGGAGGAGAGATTTACTGAGAAGTGCATGTATGGGTTCATATAAACACAGCCTTATATCTGTTAAAACAACTTACTGCCTTGTGCACTAACAGCATCTTTAGCACATCCATGCCTCCTTACATCCTCATCTCCACACAACACCTAACATTCCATGCACACAGTCATTCTTCCAAAACTCCTACATTTAGTCAACAGCTCCACTTTCCCACTTACTCCTTACTTTCAGCTTCCCACTTTCTACCCCCTCCACCACCACCCCATTCACTTTCTTTCCCTCGCCCTTATTTTCAGGATGCCCTTTCCACCTTGATTTCAATATCACTTCCCATCAACACTTTCCTTTCCAGCTGTAAATGTCAAAATTCCTTACCTTGCCTCACTTTCATTATAACATTCTCCTCTTGGTTAAAAACTAAGCCATTCTAATACATCCTTTGCTTAAGAACATACACCACTTTTGTCAACATTTCCATTACAGTACCCCATTGTTTCTTCTACTGTATATTCATCCAACCCTTTCTTTAAATATCTTGCATCATATCCAAGACTAATATCAAATTTCTTAAGCTTGTACCATCCCACTATCCATAAAACCTGCCAATACTTCCTAGTTCGTATCAATCACACTCCCTACCTTCTTCCAAGTTTTTATCAATCACACTCCCTACCTTCTTCCTCCACGCCTCCCTCATCATCATCCTCCTCTTCCTCTTCACCTGATGATGACTCCTGCTCGTCATCCTCGTCCTCTTGGTCCTCGGCAATAGGTAGTGATGGAGGAAGCGGAGGGGCAAGGTTCTCTAGACGAGGGGCAGAGGGACGTTGCTTTCGAGCAGGATTCCAGTAAAAACAATACGCACACCTAAATGCTGAAAATTTACATTGAAAAAATAATAAAATGACAAAAAGACTTAATTAAGTTCCAAATATTTTAGAAATATTCGCACCATAAAACTGGCTATAACACCTATATTCAATTGGCACAAGACGAGATGATCCAAACATACTCTACCCATCAGATTTAATGGAGAAACTGTTATTGTCTGATACAACCCATTAAGAAGAATAATAATCAATGAAGTTCTTCTAAACAGTCCCTAAATCTTAAGGACACTAGGCTCATTGCTCAACATCACCCCTTTACATCTTTATTGTTTATTCTGAACCATTGTAAATAATAATAGGTCCTGGGAGCATCACCAGTACAAAATAATATTTGTTCACTAATATACAGACAATATGTTAACTCATAACAACATATATTTGTTATATACATACATACAATGGATGTATTGATTAATACTACTTTACTACAAATATTTGGATATTAACACCACGTAAAATACCCAGCATTTGTACAAATGTCTAACATCTTTTGTATTTGACAATTTACAAGGTATCATAACATGCAAAATGAAGTCCACTTTATAACTGGTCTCCTAAATGAGGCAAACGCAGCACTTGCAGCTTTGACAAACTCGCACAAAGGACTTATGACAGTGAGATGAGAATATCAGAATTCAATCTTTTCAGATGTGATAGGAAACACAGGCTACAGGGTGGGGTCAGCCTGTACATCACACACACTCATCTACACAGAGCTGCTAAGCACCACAAATAATATAGTGGAAGTGCCGATGATCAAAATAGAAATTCTGAATTTGGTGACTGTCCTTTCATAAATCACCAGATGCAAATCCTCAGCAGTTTAAAATTTACAAAAATAGAATACTATTTAGCAACCCGTCACAATCTTGCTTGGCGACTTCAACTTACAGCACCTAAAATGGAACAATTGTGGCAAATACAGTTATACTAGAGAGAAACCCATGAAGCAGTCTAAAATGAATAGTCACACACACAAATGAATTCTTGCAGATGTGTGACAGGTTTTCCTTAAATTAGCAAATAGTAGAACTAGAAATTAAAATTCTAGATCTTAATTTTACAAACAATGAACTGATTAGGGACAATGATTACAAATACATGTTACTCAAAGCACAAACTAATAATTGAAGTTTAGACTTGCATGGGCAATAGACCTTTGCAGCCAGTCTGAACTCCAAGAGGAAGATGATTATGCTAATTCAATTTTAATAATTGGATTAACCAGAACAAATAAACCAAGATCTCAAAGAAATATGCTGAGAAGGACAGCTAAACAACACAAACTTAACTCGGTACCTGAGGAAAAAGGCACAGTAGCACTAGAAATAAGTGCAAGTCACATACCACTAAAGAGAAAGAAGATGCAAATTTGAAAAAATTCTGCCATTTTTCTTTCCCTTTGTAGGCAAATAAAATTGGCAGAACACCTCAAATGCTTCATTCTATCCCAACAATGACAAAGAAGGCTATGTAGAGAAACACTGAGCCGAAGTTGTAAGAATCAAATTTCAGAAGAGGCAGAGAACACTAGAGGCCATTTTTCGCAAAAGCTTTCAAGAAACGAGACCATGATGTTATTGTGCACAAAATGCGCACAAAAGCAATTACTAAAGAAGTAGGGAGATGGATCTTTAATACATAATAATAAAAATTCACATTTTAAATACCTAGAAAAAGAAGTAATGTCACACCCTAAATAGTTTAGAAGTGTTCATTATAAGTCAATTCATATACCTAGAATTACAGCGAGGTTTCATGAACCTGAACTAGTGATGTTTGTTTACTACAGTATTCATATTGTCCCCAGCACTCACCTAGGTACTGAAACTCATCCTTAAGTGCCATCCCATTGTGCGACTCACACTGACGACACACTAAGGCAAAACGGTTTGCAGGTCCATCACCCACTAAGTACTCAACGAAACGATCCAAGTAGCCTCGCTCCCGTGGCAGCACTGGTCGCGGCATGGGCGGTCCCGGAGGTGCGCCATCACCTCTGACACTGCTGGGAGCTGTAAATAAGGCATTAGGCATCTTACAAAAGCTATTAACAAAGTAATAAAGTATTCACCACATTCTTCCACAAGATATCCTGTAGAACCTACTGGCATCAAAGCACAAGATGCCCAAGTAAATAATGTGTACATCCTAGATCTGTTGGCATTACGTAGAAATAATACTGTATTAAAAAATGAGTATCGGTGGCATGTATGGGGTTTTCCACAAAACGAGGAAGTGGGTAGGGAAAGTGGTGAAAAGATGTGCTAGTGACAGAAACAAGATATAATTTAACTAGCTTTTCTTGTTATCACAAATATTTGTAGCAAAGTCAAATCCCTAGGCCCAATCATTATATGGGGCTCTAAGGTCAAGTACAATACTTCAATTATTAAATTGTAACAAATCTAGATTTGTTTTTACTTGAGGACGACTGATTTGTTTATGGCTCTAATAATTGCAGAAAGGCACAAGGCTTGAGATAAACTAGTCAACACCACACATGAATGATGCAAGTAATAAATCACAAATTTGCACATGGATTATAAATCCAACACAAATTAACAAATTGGTTATAAGTAGCCTACCAAAAAAATTAATAGACCCAAACTGGAACAATGTTCAATATTGGTATTTTGGAAAATAAACTTCAAGTGTATCCATCCCCGTCCAACACAACTGGGTAACAAAATTGCATTTACAAATTAAAAACTAATTATATGCAGCTCATGAGCACTATAGTTACTGTCTCTGGACAAAGCTATTGACATTTACAGTGGACTAAAATATGATTAGGTTTGCTGCAAAACTTTTGGTTTGGTATAAATCAAAAGACATTGGTCAATAGCAGGACATTGGAATGAATGCTGTACATGCAAATCTCAGGGAAATTAACAAATAATTGAATCATCCGGAAGTTTCATCACACATTCAAGTGTCCGGACACCCAAGCGTCTCTCCCAGACAAGACGCATCACCCATTTGAAAGGATATTTTGCTAGTACAGTATAAACATGTTTATTATGATCTTTATTATAGCTCCATTCCTTCCCATACAATTATGCAAATATCTTTGAAAAACATAACCAGTACTTAGAAGTTTGACCCAGAGGGGCTCAGGAACCACTGAGCATGATCTAACAATGTTGTAAATGGCAGCAGTGTCAATACTCTTTAGTGGTATTTTCATATTGCTTGGCAAAATTCTTGCCATGCATCTGGAGATTTGAAATGGGACATCTATGTTTGGTGACCCATTCCTAAGGAAACCACTGACATTTAGGTCTATTAATATGAAATATACCATGGCATGTTTGGCATGCATCATTGGTATATTCAATTAATTTTGAGATACAGTACAGTATTTTTTTATTTACTTTCCAGAGACCAAAACAAGGCTGATTTAATACAAGCTTAGACACTAATTATTGCCCATAATACAGCTGTATAGATATGTAACCATACCATTGTACAGTTCAAGGACTGTACACAAGAGAAATTAAATAAAATATAATTGCTTAAATTTGACAATAAAATTAAAACATTGCAAGAAACGTGCATTAAATCACAGAAACATCCACATTACAATATTTATTTTAACAATTCTATTCCATACCTTTCATATTTTAATATGAATTTAAAAATACATATACAGTACTGTACTCGAGTCCCTGGTTTTACTTGGTTTTGTTGATTGCGCTGGTGGGTGCTATAGGTTATTTTAGCACAAGTGTCAGGAGACCAGTGCCAGGTGTGTATTTTTCAGGCGAAGTTCACACCCAAGATGCAAGTGACTTGCAAGGTTAGCAAGACACATAATATGAGGATGTTATCAGTAACAATTGTGAGCCATGGTCATACCAAACATGTGACCCCCTATTGTGTATAGAGAACAGAAACATAAGACAATCATAACAATTGCATGGATTAGCTGTGATTATTCACCAGCACATGATCCCCAGTTGTTTTCATCATTCAAACAAGACCATCTTACTGTACATTGAAGTCTACAGAAGCTACAGTATCGTCATCATTAATTCCCTCCTGTCTGTGGAACGAGAACTGAGGGCAGTCGAGACAAATTGCCAGTGTAAATTTATGACACCTGGCTTCACAACGAGGACAATGTGAACGAGAAATAGCGAATTGGGAGTGAAAGATGCAAGTACGTACCATTTGATTTTGAATAAACAATTGTCTCCCATCCGTGACTGCCCATGAGGTAGCCCAGTTTGATTTGCCTGCAAGCACCTGGAACAGGTGGAGGTGGAATCCGAGAGATTAGAGACATTCCAAACTCAGTGTCCAGCATTGAGCTATGACTCGAGTGCCGTCAAGCAGAGGACGTGTCGGTGATAATTCCACCATACATGTAGCTATACCATGTGAAAGAGATGTTTTGTGCATGTAAATCGATGTCCTGAGTATTCATATTGGGACTCCTATAATCACTTTGTAATTACGACAGTGATTAAGAAGCTTTATAAGTGAAGCAAGTCATATAGGCCAGTATTAAGACAGGGTTCCTTGGGAGGGTTAAAAATCATTCAGTAGAACATTTACACATCACTGATTAGTTTTGAGTAAAACACTTCATAAAATAGAGAAATCCCAAACTATATTGAATTAAGCGTAATAAATAGTTATGTTAATGCATATGGTCGTACCTGTGAACCCTTCTCCCTTGTTAAACTGATCCCCATCTGGGACCTTTATTCATGCAGCACTACATCTATAAACTTTAATGTAAACTAAGCATCTAATGCCCTACTTGAATCCAGGATGAGCTAGACAACCAATAATCCAGCAAAGTTCATTTGGATGCCTCTGTTGCAGGTGGTTTACCTACAAAGGGAACAAACACCTCACAATGGGTCTACTTGGATAACCATGGACAACCTCTCTGGGCTGTAAAGCACATAGCAACTGGTGATATTGCAAGCAGAGGCGGTCTGGAAAAAGTGAAGTTCAGACAACCAGCAACCATATCAAGACTGTACTGTGCTTGCCTTTAAAAATTCCTGTTATTAAAAGCAAACCAAAATATTTCTTCCATTTACATTTATTCCATAATATTATTTAAATGACCTTAGTTTTTAAAAAAAAAAAAACTTAAGACAAAATTCTTCAAATTCATAATACTGTATAGCAAAATATCAATAGCCCTAACATTCGGCAATGTGTACGGAATATAGTTATGATTTGAAGAACAAGTGTTTATTTCTCTCCAAGACACAAATGCTGTAGTAAAATTAGAATTTAATTATTTACACACAATGCAAGACAGTGGCCAGAAGACTCACGTGGGACAGTTGTATGGAGAGGGAGCGCTGGTGTGGCGGTGAAGGAAGCGGGAGTGATGCCAACAACAGGGAGGCCTTTGGCTGGCCCAGGGCCTAGAGGCACAACCCCTCCTGATGATGCTGACCTTAGAGTGCTCATGCCAGCTAGACCTGCATTACACTAGCTTCAACACGCGGCTCACATTCATGCACATTATTAAACGAAACAATGCAAATCAAAAATTAAAATCAAAGCAATATAATACTGTATGAAATAAGGCTAAAATAATAATCCTGTACATCTAATTAAGCTTAACAAATGGAGCCAAATATGGATGTTGGAATTCAAATGTAAATAAATGTATAAAAAAAATTGCAGAGTGGAAATAAGTATAACAGATTTTGTGATGACATTTTAAGATCAGGTAAAGGAATGGAGCTACTGTATTTATCACCAGTAAACCACAGATACCCCACTTTCTTACACAATGCTGGCAAATTTTGAAGCGTTTTTAAGTAAACAGGTAATGAAATGCTACAAATTATATTATATCTGATCTAAACCAAGACATTTAGGTAGTATTGTACATACAGTAGTGTGACGACCGTCTAATATATGATCATTCCTTTAATGAAATGGATTATAGCCAAGAAATGTCAACTATGCCAAATGGTTCAAGGTGTGTATTGAATATGCCCAATTTGAAGACCAAGAAAATAAGAGCGAGATGATATCCACACAATTTATGAAATAATAATATAACTCTGAGAAGACAAACTGGAAATAAGCATATGGGTGATGGCAGCATTTTCAAAAACCACTGCAAGTAAAACAAATATTTGTTTTAATCTATAATAACCCAAACCACAAACACGAAGTGAAATAAAGATTGATTTTCAGTTTGACCTGGACTCCGATTAAATCGTGACATGACCTGATAAGAGTACAGGACAAACTGAATCACTTTCACTTTAGGTGCGGGAGTCGAGTTATTTGTTTCAGCCACATTATTGTGACATTCCCTGCATTATAATCAATAAAATGAAGGAACAGCATGAAAATAGCTCTATTCCACTAAATACAAATATATAATCACACAACAAATTTAAAAGCATCAAATAAAATATAAAGCTTTAGCAAGGTCAAACGAAAAGAACTCCACATTCCTCTAAATTCCAACTAACCTCATAAGTGTTGCCCACTCAGCGTGTCCAATGTACAAAGTACATTCTTTTGAAATGCAGCATTCCTGCCCCCATCCATACTAAGGGCCATCTATCTCATTAAGACTTATCCAGGTGCCACGACTCACCTGGTCTCACAGGCGTCGATTGTGTTATTGGCAGTGGCCTGGAAGTGTAGATGGGAGTCTGGTGCGGCAAGACTTGGGGGCCCAAGGGTCGTGCTCCCATGCTTCCAAGAGGCACAGACTGAGGAGTCGTTGCTGTGCTCACCACTCGTCTTCGAACATCTTAAATGATTGTCTACTATTATCAAGAGGTTGTGAATGCTACATAATCCACCTCCATAATATTCAAATATTTAAAACAAATACTTAAATATATGTTTATATTTAAACATATTTACTGTTATTGCTGGAATAAATTGCAGTAATAACAGCTCAACAAATTCTTAAAAGTGCAATACCAACATTTTTAATGAGAACACGTACAGTATGGATTAAATCCCAGCAAAAAAAGGTGTCAACAGTTACTTTCTACAGAACTGGTCATTTTAGTAATTGTGAGGCAAGTCCATTAACTACATTTTGTGTGGATGATGCCAGTCAATCCTGCCCAAATACGGTACCTAAAAATATTTAGCACTTTCTCCCAGGGACAACACAGCATAGTGTAAAAAATTTATTAAGACGAATGTGCGGGAATGGCGTATCGGTGCGTCAAAAATTTAAAAAGTTCGGATTGCTTTCAGCTTGGCTGAGGGTGGGGGTGCACTGTGGTTTTGGACATTATATGCATATACACCTGTAGGGAGTTTTATTGCGAACACATTGATACCAAAATGAAAGACCTAGGACGAGAAGTGAGGTGACCAAAGTGAAAAAGAATATTCACATTTTTTGCTCTTGGGCACTCACAGGTGCCAATTTCTCGGCTTGGTGTGGGTGATACGCCTTGCTTTTGGACTTTATATGCATATACTGTATTCCTGTAGGGAATTCTATTGCAAACACATTAATGCCAAAATGAAAAATCTAGGACAAGAATTGACGTGACAAAATTGAAAACCGCATGCTCCCGTGGAATGCCCGGCCCACCTTAAGAGTGGTCTGGCGCTCGCTCGCCCAGAGCGTGAAAGTGTTAAATTAACAATGCCAAATCAGAAGCTTTCTTCAAACTACCCTTGTTTATATAAAATGCCTCACCTTAGTTCCCATTTGTTATACTTTTGAATCTCCTTGTGTGTGTAACAAACATTTATTTTCCTGAATTTAAATCCTCATATTTTTAGCATCAATAGAGAAAAACAAACATGCAGTGAACCCTCAATTAGTGCAAGTTCAGGTAACAAGAATTTCCACCAACACAATTTCGGCTAAACACAAATATGTGAAAGGGGCATCATTAATGCCCCTTTCACATATTTGTGAAAGGGGCTAACATTGTAGAGATGGTATTTTGGTCCATGGAACCCCAAAATGCTATAAAGCACCTCAGCTCAGTTTAGTTACAGATGGGAACACCCAACTTTCATCTCTTGACACTTCACAATTTTCATTTGTCTTTCCTTAACACTTTCGTGGTTCCAGAGCGATCGCTCCACCTTTCCTAGTGGTTTTGGGCGTTCAGCTGGAGCGTGCGGTAATAATGAGAAGTGTAGACTCTTTTCAACTTTGTCACCTTAATTCTTGTCCTAGGTTTTTCAATTTTGTATCAATGTGTTCACAATAGAATGCTCTACAGGACTAAAAGCATATACACTCCAAAAGCCCGGCATACCACTCGCAGCAAATGAGTTAAGAAAGAAAGTGAGAGTGTTACCCGGGAGCGCGCAAGAGCGATAAAATGAGTACATTCTTTTCACTTTGGTTACCTCAATTTTCGTCCTAGGTCTTACATTTTGGTATCAATGGGTTCGCAATAGAATTCCCAACTGGAGTATATGCATATAATGTCAAAAGCCGTGGTGCGCTCCACCCGCCGACGTGATGAAAGCAAGCCGCAGTTACCCAGAAGAGAGCAGGGAGGCGTGCCCGGCCTTCCATTAGAGGGCGCGGTAATACTAAAAAGTGTACAGTATACTCTTTTCAACTTTGTCATCTCAATTCTCGTCCTAGGTTTTTCAATTCGATATCAATGTGTTCGCAATAGAATTTTCTACACGATTAAATACATATGAAGTCCGAAAGCCCGACATACCGCCTGCACAAAACAGAGAAAGTGAGAGCATGTTACTCGTGAGCACTAAAAAGCAATGAAATGTGTACACTTTTCACTTGGTCACCTCAATTTTGTACTAGGTCTTTCATTTGGTATCATTGGGTTCACAATAGAATTCCCACCCAATAGAACATGAGAATATGCACATATAAAGTCCAAAAGCCCAGCGTACCACTCACAGCAAACAGAGAAAGTGACAACACGTTACCCCTCATGAGCACTCAAGAGCAATAACGTGTTTACTCTTTTCAACTTTGTTACCTCAATTCTCGTCCTAGGTCTTTCATTTTGGTATCAATGTATTCGCAATGAAATTCCCTCAACCCGTTCTCGCAAATTTAATAAGTCAATATTGACTTATTAGTTGCGTGCATAGGTGACATACTTAACATAATAGTTTCCCTTGAAAAGCTTCATAGAAAACACCGACCTTACCTAACCTACTTAGTATGTTAAAATAAGCATCTTATAGCTTCGTAATTACAATTGTTACTTAACCTATTATAGGTATAGGTTAGGTAATAATTGTAATTACGAAGCAATAAGATGCTTATCTTAACATACTAAGTAGGTTAGGTAAGGTCGGTGTTTTCTATGAATCTTTTCAAGGGAAACTATTATGTTAAGTATGTCACCTATGCACATATTTAATAAGTCAATATTGACTTATTAAATTTGCGAGAACGAGTTGAATTCCCTACAGGAGTATAGGCATATAATGTCCAAAACCGCGGCGCGCCTCTCCCGCATCCAAGACGAAAGCAGGCCAAATTTTTTTTTATTTTTGACGCCATACTTCATTATCAGTGGAAATAAGGTACAGTACTAAAATTTTGACTCCATACTTCGTCATTAGTGGGCAAAAGTGTTAATCCCCACTTTTTATTACATACCTGCATTAGGGTACAACTTTAGTTATATGTTGGTAACTAAACTATTACCGTTTAGGTTTCACACAAACGAGGCTAATATGGATATAATAGCTATATACAAATGTAGTGGTGTTTACCTTCAAACATGAAAAAATCCTATCATTTTATAATTACCATATTATGTAAATGCTGTTATCACAAATGTTACTATACCAATGCAGTAATCTTCATGGTTCAAATTCCATTAAAATTAAACATGTACATTATACATTATACCAATTATGTTCTTATACGTTTCACATCTTTATATGGTTGTAATGAAGTATACCAGGTCAACCAGTCATTTGATCATCATAATAATAAAGGAACTACAGAAGGCTTATTGGATTATGAGGCAGCTCCTATTTATATCAATATAAACAGAAGCTGCCTTATATTTGTATCTATTTATATCACTCCTATTACACATGCATTTGCTATTTGTGCCTGCACAACTGATGATGTCCGCAGCCTAAGGGATAGAGCTTTCTTACTGACCTCAAACTTCAAGTTCATTTAGTAAAATAAAAATATAAAATACAAATAAAATAAAATAAAGTAATTAAAAATAAAATAAAGCAATTACAAAAAATAAAAAATGAAACAGGTATCTATATAAATAAAAATAGAAATGTTCATTTGTGCATAACGGCTAATCTCCGAAAGTTCTTCACCGATTGCTTTGAAATTTTCACACAACGTTCCATTTGCATCCGGCCAGGTTTTTATATACATACTATATAGATGTCACGTTTGTGACAGTAAAAGAACATGCTTTTTCTGAAAAACTGTGTTTTTCATGTGTTTTTCATGCGAGGGAAATCTTCGAAACCTCTTTACGGATTGCTTTGAAATTTTGACAACGTTGCATTCGAATAAGCGCGTCTTTTTATATATCTACTATATACATGCCTCACCTGTGACAGGAAAAAACATGCTTTAAAAAAAAAAAAAAAACAGCTTCATCTGTTGAAGGTAAGAGCAACACACACGCTGTAATCTCCGAAAGTTCCTCACCGATTGCTTTGAAATTTTGGCACAACGTTACATTCGAATAGGAGCGTCTTTTTATATACATACTATATAGATGCCACCCCTGTGACAGGTAAAACATGCGTTTTTGAAAAACAGCGCCATCTGTTGCACCCAAGACCAACACATGCTATACTAAATATGTTACGATTCCATTTCAATGTTTCCGATTTCATTGATAAATTGAATTTTTATAAATTTTGATTTATTTTAATTTTGATTTAATTATTTTGTGTGACATTGTGTTGGAATTGAGCTTTGTTGTTTACCATACATATGGCAATGTATGGTAAACAACTCATACATACCCACTCATTTCTTGGGTATTGTTTATTTTTTTTATTTTGTCATTGCTTTTCATTTTGTTTAACTGTTTTCTTATATTTCAGTGATGGGAACATCAGATCATTTGATGTTCCCAATTTTCTGATGGGAACATCAGATTATTTGGGAATGCATCGGACGAGGGAGTGGGGAATGGTGGGGAGGACGAGGGGATGGGCGTGGGGGATGGTATCGAGGACAATGGGATAGGGGAGGGGGTAATGGTGGGGAGGACGAGAAGACGGGGGAGTTGGGGATGGTGGGGACGAGGGGACGGGGGAGTTGGGGATGGTGGGGACAAGGGGACGGGGGAGTTGGGGATGGTGGGGACGAGGGGACGGGAATGGAGAATGCTGGGAAGGACAATGGGACACGAGTGGGGGGGATGGTGCGGAGGACAAGTGAACGGGAGGGGGGGGATGGTAGGGAGGACAAGGGGATGGAGTGGCAGATGGTGAAGAGGACAAGGGGGCGGTGGAGTGGGGAATGGTGGGGACATAGGGATGGAGGAGGGAGGAAATGACGAGGACGAGGGGACGGGGAAGTGGGGAATGGATGGGAGGGTGGAGGGATAGGGGAATGAGGAATAGTTGGGAGGACAAGGGGACGAGGTGGTGGAATGGTGGGAAGGACTGGGAGACGGGGGTAAGGTTGCTGTGGCTCAACAACGCACATGCGTTGCCGAGTCACAGCAATGCGTGGCCAGGTTCAGCTAGTAAAGAATAATAATGAGAAATGTTAAGTCAACGCAACTACTGTATATAGTACTAAGAAGAAATATGAGGATAGGGAGCTGGGATTTGAAGTCGGATATAAGGAACAGCGTGCAACTACTTAGGAGCATCAATAACCAAATGCTGACCTGTAAGAAATGAGGTCATCGCTCTACCAACCAGGCCAAGTGGTTTGATAACTTCACTAACAAACACTCAAAACAACAAACACCACACTTCCAATAATCCCGCGGCTGGTCCTCAACATTCAAGAACATGATGCCCTGAGGGCAACGACAACTTTTCCTTTCGGCTAACCTGCATGCTGACTGGCAGGGGTCGGTGCAACTGGGCCCACAGGCGTTGGCGTTTTGAGCATCTGAAAACAATTCATTATTTGTAGATTTTGAGTTGTACTAAAAGTATGAAAGTGATAAAAATTAAGAAAAAGCAGATGATGCAACATGAATTTTGAAGAGATCATGAAAATTTATCAGAAATGCATAATGACCACATATGGGAACATAAGATGTTAAAAAAAAATTAAAGCAATAAGAAAAGATGTGAAACAAATGACCACATTACTAGACTAAAATGGGGAAGTTCACAAATTTGGATGGAATAATTAAAAGGTTTCAAGTGGGTAGTGATAGAGATTGTAGGCAAGAATCAGAATGCACTCTGGAGCATATGGTTAAGTATTCAATGATAAGGGCAGAAATATAGTATTGGTAAAATACTTTTAAACATAATGTGAAGGACCATAAGAAAGCATGAAGAAACTAAAGCTACTGTATTAGCTTGCCAAGTATACTAATAAGTCTTTTATTCAAGCTATTAGTTAATAATACAAGGTTGAAGATAGAAAATAAAAATGTAAGTGTTAATGATTTACATTGTGCAGAATTTGGCGAGGCTCTTGCAGGAGGTTCAGAGACAAGTGCCACAAAACATGAATCTAAAGCAGAGAAGTGCTACACCACCATTAAGACAGTGTTTCACATAGTTACACACTAAACACCATACCACAGGGTACAACATGAATGCAAGTGTTCACAGTACAAAGATTAGAGAAGACAAAAGCTCATTATTCCACACGAATGCAATTGTTCTGCTTAGCTGTGAGACATAGTTTATCTAATTAAATATTTTCGGTGTCCAGATAGGCATTAGCAAAGAAAAACATACAGCCCCAGGAACTGTTCAAATCTCCTCCAAAAACACTGAAGCATGTAAGAGATCCAATAGAAAACTTTAATGATAATGTCTGGAAGCTCTTAGAAGCTCCCCAATGCTTTAGTATCACAGTGACAAGTACGACAATTATGGCTGCCAACATGAGGAAGGACAAAAGTTGAATTTATTTTGATGGCTTTGATGAGGAAAATATTAGCCAGAGTGGTTTGCACACGTCGGCAAACATAGAGAACACTGTAAAATATCACATGGACATGTTAGGAAACCGAGCAGCAGTAATGAAAGCCCGAGTAAGTCAAATTAAGGAATCATGCAATGATAAAGAGCTCTGGGACACTAAAGGAAAAGTCCTGGGGGAGAAAAATAAAGTATTAAAAGTAACTTTTGAGGACACTAAATCAAATCTGTATGTTAGTGAATACAAAAAGTTAAGCAAGAAAATTCAACAGGGAAAAGATCTTTTTCAGTAGAGATGAAGGTGGTCACACAAGGAATAGAAAAGTGCAAGGAGGATACGCAACTACCCTATGCACAAGTTGCCAGAGTAAGAAATATTAGAAGTGATTAAGGAAACCAGACACTGTAGTAAACAGACAAGTGTGAATATCAGACAGGAAGTCAGAAAGGAAATGGTATCAAACCCAAAGCTGGAACAAAACATTTGACAGGAGTCCTCAATCTTTTATTGCAAACAAAAGGAAATACCAATCCTTCAAAATCGCTTTTAAATACTGTACATGAAGGCAAAATATTAAAGAAACTGTTCAAGATCTTCACGAGACATAAATCGGAACATGCAGCAGTTGTATGTATGGTGCCCATATCTCAAGAAGCACATCCAACTGGAAAAGATGCAAAGACAGGTAACTAAATCACGTCTGGAACTGAACAACCAAGTGCTATGGTATGAGGAGAGAATAAAAGTGAGGATAAAGGTGTCCTCATATATCAAATATGGTATATTTTTCTTCTTTTCTTCTATCTCCTAGAATATAGAAGAAAGAAAGGCTATGTAATCACTACATACAAAATAATAAATTGAAAAAATTGACGAAGGAGAATTACATCTTCAAGGTGGTCATGCTCAGGAAACAAAGCTGCCAAACGTTAGAAAGTTCTCTTTTTGCAAACAGTGGTAGATGGTTGGAACAAGCAAGATGATGATGGAGGCCAAAACCAATCAGTAGTTTCAAAACAACGTATGACAGTACTGGGAAGACAGGACACCACAAGCACAGATTTTATTTGTTAACTATACTTGGATAATTACAACTACCATGTCTCTGGACTTGGGTAGGCCTACTGAACACCAGGATCAGAATCAGGTATGCTCTTTGAGAAGAGAAGATCATAGGGATCTAAGATCAGTCTCATAACTGAGTAAAACTGGGCATAAAGTATTTGAAAAGCAAAACAAATTATATATCTATGAAAGAAAGAAAAGTAATAAGAGCTCAATAATCCAAATTTTGGCAACCCAAATCTTTGGCCAATTTGAATCAATTCATGCTCATCATGCACGAGTAAGCTGTGGGAATAAGCAAGTTGTGAAACAACAAAAATTGTACATTTTTTCATTTTTGGATATTCCTGGTAAGAAATTCGACTAACTCTCGAATGAGGATGGCCCCATATGATATGGATTAATGAGCAGAGACAGTAAGTAATATTAGATCTTAAAGCTTGGTGTTTCTCAGAAGTGAGACACTGAACATTGGAAAGGCTGGCACCTATCTGACACCCACAAAGTCAAACATCCAGGAACTAGGCATGTTATTTTTAAGAGCTCTCCCCAACAGCATAGAAAAAAAGCTATAATATAGACCATAATATACATTTTATATTGATGAAAAATACAATAAAAATGGGTGATATGACTCAATGTATAGAAACCAGTAATGTATGCAGTGGGTACATGGGACACTACACTGCAATTTTTTTTCTAGTTTATATTTAGTTTGAGGTTATGACTATTACCTTCTTGAGATCTGTTTAGTGTCCAGTCCAGTTGTCTTTACAGAATGTTTCCTCATTCAAATAATACCATGAATTTTGCAATAAACCTGACAACTGTTTTTTTTTTGTAGTCTCTATAAAACATCTGTAACCAAGTGTCCAAAAGTGGCACTTAAACCCAAATATTGCACCTCTGAGAAAAAAAGCCATGCTGAGGAAATACCAATTACAGTATCTCATGCACTTAATCACAAAAGTAATATGCCAATTACTACTTTAACTGAATGGCCACATCTGCAGCAGAAAACAATCATTCCCTCCAACCTCTACTTGCTTGCATGACAAAATACTTCAATATTTATAGCCTAATTTAGCATTAGAGTACTGCCCTCCACATGGATGAGAATTCCAGTTTGTAAGAAAGGCATCGTTTATATTGGATCCAACTTAGTCATGTCAAGGTACACAACACACCTGATTCCTGCGTAGCTGGTCAGGAGCATACAGTTCCAGTATCTCCTTCGCCACCTTGTATGTTTCTGTCTCCATCACCTGCTCCAAGATCTTCTCTTGTCTCTCGCGGAGACTTTTTAACTTTTCTTCATTTTTAGAAATCTTCCGTCGATAATACCAAGTCAGCAGCCTCTTTATAGAGTAGATTCTGTGGAAGTTTTAACTATAATATATAGGGTGTTCATAAAATGTTAAAATACTTTAATGTTTCAGGACATAAAGCCTCAAAACAATTCAACCAAAATATAAAATTAGTTAAGCCTCTTTATAATGAAATTGCTAACAAAATATCTAACAATAAAATGCCTGCATAATACATCAAGTTTCAGCTATTAAATTTCAACAGTTTTATGTAATTTTAAATCTTAAATCACAGTACTGTATTAGTGAGTACTACTGTACTGTTCATGTAATAATGTACTGTCCTGTAGTTGCAAATGATACTAAATACAATATACTGTATAGAAATTCTAACCTTAGATGAAAACTTCCTAAGTTAAATCATTTTATAAAATGTTATGTACAACCTAACCCAATTAAAGTTAATTAAGAACTAACAAAAGATAGCTACTACGGTACACAGAAAAAGTGCGTTTAGCATGGGCTAAGTACACAAAATAGTACTACAGTATAAATACTGCACAAGCTGAATAACTAATGCATGTTACTGAATCTTGTGATTAGTCAAAACACTGATGCAGGGCCTGAATACAATGTCATGGCCTGCATTGGCTTCCTATTATTCACCAAATAAAGTAGATAACTGGAGATCCTTGCAAGGAGAAAAGTTTAGTTTTCTCTGTCAGCCTCACGTAGGTTTGACACAAGGTGCGACTCACTAGGAGAATTGCATCCCTAAATGCACGAGTTGCAAATATATTTTCAGAATCTATTTTCTATACTGAAAATAGATTCTGAAAATAGATCAATAGATGATCTTCGGATTCGTAGTCCTAAGGTTTAGATAGTTTCTCTATACTATCATCATTACCTAGCCTCAGAACTTTACATTTGTCAGCATTAAACTGCATTTGCCAATCATTTGACCAATAATAATAATATTTATGCTCTGCCATGAGCATGGCAGAGTTCATGGTGATAAAGACAACTATGATATTAGATATTAATATAAAACAATGGGTATTGTGAAAATTCGAAATATTAATTGATATTGCTAAGAATGAAAATGATAGGATTTTTATGGTAAGGAAGGCAGTAAGCCTAAAATGAAGCATGTTGATAAAGCAATTACAGTTTTATACAAAGAAGTGCATATATTCTCAGAGGGTTGGCTTTGGAGTTTTAGCAAGACATCGTGGAATAAAACTTAGGGGTTTAATTAGCTGGGTGGTGCCAGAAAGCTAATACAAAAATGCTTTGATTTACAAATTTAAGAGAAATGTGGGAACTCAAAAATTTACATCAACAAAATTATAAAGTACTGTAAATATAATTTGAACTGGAAAAAAATTACCAACATATTCTTTGATTCATGGTGGCAAATGTTGAATAAAATTACTGTATTAATTGTTGTGCCAATGCAGATTGCATGTACATGTGTAAATTACTGAACAACCCAGACTAATCCTCATGTCTACAGCATTCCCAGCAAAGAGCTGGGCTCTCACACAGCCTATGTTCTCGTGTCTTACAAATCTTTTAGGCTTAGTTATGCACATCCTAAGCATTGAGGACATCATTATACTGTACCATGAATTTATTTCTGGAAAGTGGAGGATCATTAAATATTAATGTTAAAATAAGTGTAAAGAGTGGATATTATTCCCTCTGGAGCTTGACCCAATTTTCCTCTTAACAAATGTGATGTGCTAGTTTTTTTATTTACACTTTTTTAAGGAACATATCTTCTGTGAAAATTGGAGGTACTGTAGCATGTACAGTACAGTATTCATGTTTTTTCCCAGGAGTAAATATTCTGTTGGGCACTGTAGTTCAGTTAATAATAATAATTACGGCACATCAAGTGTTTTATGTACATTTCTAGTGTTAATTTTAAGTCTAATAAGAGTGAACTCTATGAAGTGTGGTACTCACAAGAAGGGAAAAATAATAAAAGGGGTGGCATATAGCAGCCTCTCGCGTAGCTTGTTGGGGAAGTAATAGAAGTAGAAGACAACAGCGGCAACCAAGTATAGCACGATGGAGTAGAGGACGAGGCTCCCCACCAGCTTCTTCTGGCGTTGCTCCGTCGTCTCCCGGTATTCCTCGATCGCCTCCACATTCTGCCATGAAACTATCTCTAATATACCCATAACCAACTTTACAGTCTCATACAGTTACTCATTTAAAAGGAGCATCACCTTTGATAATGATCCAATAATAGAGTTCAAGTCTCACCTGCAAAAGCTAGTCATTCATTACCTAGCACAGTATTAAAGCCCTTTATACAGCACAATTCATGATATTAATTCCTTTGAAATAAATTCTCTTCTAAATTTACTGCCTTTAATTTGCTAGATTACCGTCTCCTGAACACCAAAAAGTTATCTTGCAATAACATACAATTCATATACTTGAAGTTTCCCTCAAACCTCATTTAGTGCATGCACTGTACTTAGGTCTCCACCACATTATATTTGCTTTATTGAATATGCAGTATATTAACTGCAGGAAATTATAGCAGTCTATTTACTGCTAACTATAATTTTTTAAAGTAAAGATCATTGCAAAACTGTCCATCAAATAATGTGTAATTCAGCATTAATAATGAGAACTATATAAAATAGGCATACTGTACTTTAAAAGCTTAAATTTCTTACCTTTTGAATCTCTTCAAGTAAGTCTTTGGTCGATTGTTTTTTCTGAAAATAAAAAGAAATGTTAGTATTGTACAATACACAAGGCAAACTTAAAGTAGTCAAGCAAGGCATTAGAGTTAACTTGGATTTAATATGATTTGAGAATAAAAACAAAGTACAGTATTATTATAACATTTAGGTTTACTTTGCAAAACATCAGCTGAACTCTCTAATTTGAGAATAAAACTGAGGATGTAAGGCTCTGTAGCCCCTCAGGATCATAGACTTTATTCTCATAGGCTATAATACTCTATCTCTTATACTTTGAAGAGAAGAGGGACAAGTGTTTTTATAAAGCCCTGGCCATACCCGGCTGTTAACCCGAAGCCGAGCGACATGCTCACCATCTGCAGTTACCACACCAGTGACCTGCATTAGATATCTGATCACCTCATATTTAATTACTAAATATTATATAACATTTTTTCCCAGTCTCTGCCTTAATACATGAACATTAGAGAGCATTATCCGATTTGTGTAACATACATGGTAAACACACTGTAGGCCACCAATACCGATTATTCTAAAAACCTTCCCCCCCCCCCACCAATCGTGAGAATCTAACCTTAATGCCTAGGTTCAGATCAGTGCACTAAAATGCCATTATGTCTATCAAATACAGTATCATTATTAGCATTATTTTTATTACTGTATTATTATCATCATCATCATTAGTTCCCCACACAACTCGTCCGACCCCCCCTCCACACACAACTCGCCTGAACCCCCCCATCCCACAACTCACCCCCTCTCACCCCACAACTTCCCCCCCCCCCCCCACAACAACCGGGGAGGGGGGGGGGCGATGGCTGAGTGGATAGCACGCTTGATATATAGTCGTGTGGACCAGGGTTCGATTCTCAGGGCCGGCAGAAATAAATGGGCAGTTTCTTTCACCCAGATGCCCGTTACCTAGCAGCAAATAGGTACTGGGGGATGGGGGGTGGAAAAAAGAATTAGTAGTTAGTAACATTTGATTGATTGACAATTGACAGGTGAGCCAAAAGAGCAGAGTTCAACCCCGCAAGCACAACTAGGTGAATACAACTCAACACGCCCAACCTCCCCCCCCCCCCAGCAACTCGCATCACACTTGACACTGCCCCCCCCCCCCCCACATACACAGTACATGATACATGACACTAGACACATGAGACATGACATGCACACACAATACATGACAAATGTAGACATGGAGACCAAAAGGCTCAGGAATCTGTACGCCAGTTGATTGACAGATGAGACGTGGGACCAAAGAGCTGAAGCTCAACCCCCCACAAGCATAACTAGGGGAGTTGACCAGACCACACACTAGAAGTTGAAGGGATGACGACGTTTCGGTCCGTCCTGGACCATTCTCAAATCGATTATTTCAGCCACGTTATTGTGACTCATCGCCTGCAACTAGGGGAGTACAACTAACCCAGTACACCCCCCCCCTCACAATACATGATACGCACACAAGACATAACACACAGAAGAGTTAGGCAGGACATGATCACCACATACAAGATTCTTAGAGGAATTGAAAGGATAGATAAAGACAGACTATTTAACACCAGGGGCATACACACTAGGGGGACACAGGTGGAAACCGAGTGCCCAAATAAACCACAGATATTAGAAAGAACTTTTTTTAGTGTCAGAGTGGTTGACAAATGGAATACATTAGGAAGTAATGTGGTGGAGGCAGACTCTATACACAGTTTCAAGTGTAGATATGATAGAGCCCAGTAGGCTCAGGAACCTGTACACCAGTCGAGAGGCAGGACAGTTGAGAGGCGGGGACCAAAGAGCCACAGCTCGACCCCCACAAGCACAAATAAGTGGCAAATAGGCGAGTACATGCCTCCCATGAGACTGCCCCACGCACGCACACACACCACTGCCCTACACACACACAAACACACACGCTGCCCATAACCGCCCCACACATATGCTGCCCATGACACTGCCCCCCCCCCAACACACACACTGCCCATGACACTGCCCCCTCCCACACACACACTGCCCATGACACTGCCCCAGACACTGCCACACACACACACTGCCCATGACACTGCCATATATGCACATGGGAAACATAATATTGCAACACAGACCAAACATATGCCATTCAACTGCCAAATGAGATGAAAAATGGTTAAAGAATTGTATAGTTTTCATGTTAGGTTAGATTTCTATGCCAAGAACAATTTAGACGTTACTGTACCTTAACCCAACACCATAAGTAACCATTTTGCAGTTTTGGGAATATGAACACTATGTTAAAACATGTATATTGGTGACAATGAATGTTAGACTGGTAGTTAAGGGGCAGTGTACAGTTAACAATGTGTGTATCGGCAGGGGGAGCCAGGTTATGGCCACCACAGGATGGCTGTCAGTATGGACAGCCTAGGCTAGGGTGGTCCTTGAGAAGACTTGCATGTCTCCTCTCCCTAACAATAGTTTACCATACAAGCAACACAGGTAACCATACAAGCAACACAGGTAACCATACAAGCAACACAGGTAACCATACAAGCAACACAGGTAACCATACAAGCAACACAGGTAACCATACAAGCAACACTGGTATAACCTCACCCAGGTGAGGGGAGCATTGCAGGATCATCAATACACAGCTATGAACATAGCCAAAGTAACAATAGCACCAAGTAACACGTCACCCAAAAAGCACATATATGGCACGAAGGAAAACAACAAGTAGCATCAAAACTGGGTAGTGGCCGGTGTGTCCAGCCTGTTGCTCTCTGGTCGCTATTCCTCTTCCTTACGCCACTAATTTACTTCATCATCACACTCATTACATCACTCATAGGTCGTCCATCTTACCCGAAATCTGGATATAATAAGCCCCATGGCGCCTTTTAGCGATGCTTGACAGCAGACATCCTTATGGGAAGTGTTCCTTCATGCTCGGCTCCAGCACTCTCGTCAAAACAAATTCGCCGATTGGTCCGCGTCACCAGCACTCCAATGAGACGGTGGTGCTGATTGGATCACTTCTTTAGCGGATTTGTAAGCTGCTCGCTGATTAGCCCTAGCCATCCGGGACTTATGTGATATTTGCGCGGCTGTCATTGAAAATGTTATTTTTATTTCCTGTAGTGCACGAGATAATTTAGATTAATAACGAAAATGAATTATAATAAACGAGTCATTGTTTTATATTTTCTTTCGAATATCTAAATAAACAAGAGTTGTTTGGTGAAGTAGGCCAGGTATAGGAGACAGAGTTCAGCACTAGTCGTGCTGGTAGCTTGGCCAACTGTCTGTGGCGATGATTGTATTAATAAACCTGAAATGGACCGAGACCTGCAGGGTATTCCAATCTCTGATCAAAGCCATACTATTTTGAGAGAATAGGGCTGACGGAAGAGCAATCACTGTGTGGGGCAGAAAGCACCGGTATAAAGAATTATGATAATAATAATAATAATTGTATTCACAAGAAGGTATAATTGAAATTGAAATAAGTTTATTGAGGTAAAATACACACAAAGGGATGAGATAGCTCAAGCTATTCTTACCCCGTTCAGTACATCGTGTTAATACATACATATACACACATCACAAACAATAAACATATTACCGAACATTCTGAGAGATAAACATCTACATTTCCTCCTTTACACAAGTAGTATGGTATCAGACGTACACACAAATACTTTTATGACCTAAGTATACTGTATAGACAATTTGCAAGAGACATGCAGATAATTCAACAAAAAATTACAGTCTTGGTGCAAAATTCTTATAACTCTCCAGAATATCATCAACCTTTCTGTTGTGACACATCCAGGCTATTTGTTCAGGAACAGTCCTTATCTCAGTGTTTCTATATACATTAATCAACGGACAATCAAGAACATAATGGGCCAGGGTGTGAGACCTTAACATTCCACATAGTTTACACTTGGTGTCATTATCATTAACACCTGTTCCATATTCCCAGTAATATTTGTACCCAAGCCTGAGCCGCATGTACACAGAGTCACTCCAAGCATTTCTCCTTTTACTGTAAGTGAAATGGGTGTTTTGACACACATACATGTAGTGTTGCATGGTTTGGCTTCCCTCATACATTATACCTCTCCTCGCCACTTCTGCCTGTGCCTGAATATTTCTGATTTTGCTTCTTATTTGTCTCATTGTGATGTTGTCTCAACAGGCTGATGTAATATAGAGTGTATATATATATATATATATATATATATATATATATATATATATATATATATATATGTCGTACCTAGTAGCCAGAACGCACTTTTCAGCCTACTATGCAAGGCCCGATTTGCCTAATAAGCCAAGTTTTCCTGAATTAATATATTTTCTCTAATTTTTTTCTTATGAAATGATAAAGCTACCCATTTCATTATGTATGAGGTCAATTTTTTTTTATTGGAGTTAAAATTAACGTAGATATATGACCGAACCTAACCAACCCTACCTAACCTAACCTAACCTATCTTTATAGGTTAGGTTAGGTAAGGTAGCCGAAAAAGTTAGGTTAGGTTAGGTTAGGTAGGTTAGGTAGTCGAAAAACAATTAATTCATGAAAACTTGGCTTATTAGGCAAATCGGGCCTTGCATAGTAGGCTGAGAAGTGCGTTCTGGCTACTAGGTACGACATATATATATATATATATATATATATATATATATATATATATATATATATATGTCGTACCTAGTAACCAGAACTCACTTCTCAGCCTACTATTCAAGGCCCGATTTGCCTAATAAGCCAAGTTTTCCTGAATTAATATATTTACTATAATTTTTTTCTTATGAAATGATACAGCTACCCTTTTCTCTATGTATGAGGTCAATTTTTTTTTATTGGAGTTAAAATTAACGTAGATATATGACCGAACCTAACCAACCCTACCTAACCTAACCTAACCTATATTTATAGGTAAGGTTAGGTTAGGTAGCCAAAAAAAGCTAGGTTAGGTTAGGTTAGGTAGGTTAGGTAGACGAAAAAACAGTATTTCATGAAAACTTGGCTTATTAGGCAAATCGGGCCTTGAATAGTAGGCTGAGAAGTGCGTTCTGGCTATTAGGTACGACATATATATATATATAAATATATATATATATATATATATATATATATATATATATATATATATATATATATATATATATATATATATATATGTCGTACCTAGTAGCCAGAACTCACTGGTTCTGATAGTAGGCATAGCTTCTATGCCTACTATGCAAGGCCCGATTTGCCTAATAAGCCAAGTTTTCATGAATTAATTGTTTTTCGTCTACCTAACCTACCTAACCTAACCTAACTTTTTCGGCTACCTAACCTAACCTAACCTATAAAGATAGGTTAGGTTAGGTTAGGTAGGGTTGGTTAGGTTCGGTCATATATCTACGTTAATTTTAACTCCAATAAAAAAAAATTGACCTCATACATAATGAAATGGGTAGCTTTATCATTTCATAAGAAAAAAATTATAGAAAATATACTAATTCAGGAAAAGTTGGCTTATTAGGCAAATCGGGCCTTGCATAGTAGGCTGAGAAGTGAGTTCTGGTTACTAGGTACGACATATATATATATATAAAGTAACCCTTTTCTCTATGTATGAGGTCAATTTTTTTTTATTGGAGTTAAAATTAACGTAGATATATGACCGAACCTAACCAACCCTACCTAACCTAACCTAACCTATATTTATAGGTTAGGTTAGGTTAGGTAGCCAAAAAAAGCTAGGTTAGGTAGGTTAGGTAGACGAAAAAACATTAATTCATGAAAACTTGGCTTATTAGGCAAATCGGGCCTTGAATAGTAGGCTGAGAAGTGCGTTCTGGCTATTAGGTACGACATATATATATATATATATATATATATATATATATATATATATATAGCCGTGTCCTAGCCGTGTCATTAGCCAAGTAATTAACTATACAATTTGCTGTGCTCCGTCCTTTAATAATCCTTTGACCCCCTCCCCTAACTTGCCTATTTTGTGCAACAGTCGGTTTAGGATAAAACAAAATAAAAAATATTTATTTAGGTAAGGTACATACATACAAGAGATTTTACATAAATTGGTAGATTTATAGATAGAGCTAGTACATACAATGCCTAACGCCACTATTACGCAAAGCGTTTCGGGCAGGAAAAACTTTAATGACTAAAGCTTAATGCTAAATGAGTATAAAGAATAAAATGTGTTGAGAACAAATAAAAATAAAGATAAAAAGGGGGAAACATGACTGAAAAAGCAGCCCAAATACAAATAGGTCGACAAACAGCGTTGTTTAAGAAAACAGACATATGGGTTGACAATTGAGGGGTAAGGTAGGTTACAGGGAATTTATTAGGTAGTGCTTCGTTTTTATCTTAAACTGGTTGAGAGAGGTACAGTCTTTAACATGGTGATCCTTTCAAGCATCTTGCAAGTGCATGACACGAGACTGATAGGTCTGTAATTACCAGGGTCATTTTGCTTCGGTATGGGAACAATTATTGCGTGTTTCCATTGTGTGGGCAACACTTCACTTAGGAATGATTTGTTAAACAGGTGGAGTTGTGGATTCCCAGACACTTCACACAGAGCATTGAGTATGTCGTAGGTGACGCCATCCTCACCAGGTGCTGTACTTTTACCCTTTTTTCATAGCGCCCCTTACTTGCTGGGCTGTGATTGGTTGCCCATATTCGTCATCACTAGACAGTGCTCTTGTTATCCTAATTCTTCTGTCATCATGTTTGTTACGGACCCGAGTCCATCGTCGGAACACGGAGTAGTGACGACAACGCCATCTGTGAGTCCGCTCCTGAAACCCCCTCCAAATGGACGACGCCATCTAGTGAGGACGGGATATACCGGCCACAGGGGCTGGATTCCCGTCTTAATCAGCTCATAACATAGCCGCTGCTGACCTCTGGTGAGGTGGTGCTTAGACAGCAACGCCATCTATGGAGCAGAGAGGTGGACGTTTGTGTCTAAGCCTGTAAGTGAGGTTCCCTAGTCCCAGTATTAATGACGTGTCTGATTGCAGAGTCGACCTGGGACTGCTGTATTGGACGATGGATCAGTCTACCCAAGGCAGCCAAGGTCTCTCCACGAGTCTGCTGAAGAAGTTGTGAGTCACCCCCGGATGAACTCTGTCGAGAGTGTTAGCCTGCCTGTGACGTGGCAGTATCAGGAATCGCCTTATCCGGGGCTGGCTGGTGGAAGAGACTAGCCACTGTGGTGCTGAGAGAGGAGAGTGATCAGCGGAATCACACGAGGCTCCTGCCTAGGGCTCACAACCCTAGTATCGGTCGTGGAGTGGCCTAAACAGCGGAGCTGATCGGAACCTGCCAGCTACAGGCTGGATTGTGGTTGAAGGCCTCCACGACGGAGCACCCAGTGGGACTGTGATTTGGCTGGCCTGTGGCCAGGGTAGATTCACCGAGAGAATCATAGAGGATTCATCGTGGGCCACGGAGGAAGAAACCAGGGCTACCCAAAGTGCGCACCGTGGAGCATCCTGTGTCTTCAGTGGAAGACAACTCTGTATATTATAGTGTATTTATAACTCCCGTGTGACTGTTATATATTTATTTATGGTGTTGGTGACTATATGTATATAAATCAGAGCATTTGTATCCCTCCCCCTTTAATTTAACTTGCGTTATGGAACACATCCCTTGAAAGCCTCTACTAACTTGGGGCCGGATTCCCGAATTCTAATAACACCAGAAAAGAACCTGGTTGCGACCCAGTAGGGCCGTAACAATGTCGCAGGAGCTGTTCCCTGCTGATTTCTGCAGGGAGGGAGGAGGATGCTGCATCACTCCACTTGTGAATTAGTTCCTCAGCCTTACCCTGGGGGTCTTTGTGAGCCGCAGGCCGGGCTCTGCCCCCCCCTCCCCCTTAGCTATCTGAATTTTTGCCCACACTCGTCTTGCAGACGTTTCCCGTCCAATAGAGCTAGTGAACTCAAGCCATTGTCTT